CACATCGTGTGTGCTAGGTAGCACCTGCAGCGCGAAGTAAAATATGAAATTGCAGGTCACATCTTTGCAAATCAACACTCCGGTGGACCATCAACCATCGAGTGATACGCGCTGGGGATGTCGACAGAATAAATATGAAAATAAAATATGACGAATGTGTTGCACTGGCACCTAATACCACTATAAGAGTGGCATTGAGTGCACAGAGTTCCAATCTCTAGGTTAATTATGCTGTTTTCAAGAGTCGAGGTTTTATAGACATCAATGATTGGTGGTCGGTCACCTTTAGTTGTGCGCTGTGATAGGGTAATTTGAACAAAGGCGGTCGCCGGCCGATAAAAATTTCATTGCCGACGGGGGTGCTCTGAGAATAACATCGTTTACGCGGTTAAACTTCCGTGCGCAAATATAAATGGTTACAAATCGTATGCCGTGTTTGTGTGAATCACAGTTCCGCCCGGCCGCCAGCAGCGGTGATAAGCTATCCGAGGGGGGGGTCAACTGTAAAATCTAAAAGAAATTCCGACGAGTGTGTTTCACTTGCATCTGATAGTCCTAAGCCAGTGCTGTCGAATGCACGGTGGAAATCGGGGTATGAATTTAACGTGTTTTTTTCTGGATCGCCGTATTATGGCCATCAGTTACGTGCAGGCCGGCCCGAGTTAGCCCCAGTGATGAGTTACATGGCGGATTGAGTGCCCCGACAATCCCATTATGGTACAAGAGTAAAACAAGAGTAAAATCGGACGCCTGATCTTTGCAAATCACCGCTCCGCTGGGTCCCCAGGCAATGAGTGATACACTTTTGGGGTTGACCAAATAAAAGCGATGACAAAATCTGACATGTAGCCGAGATATCAAGCCATCTCTCTTTCCATTCCAGTGCCCATTCGACGACGAACAAGGCTATTAGTACTGTTCTATCTACAAAGCTGTCAATGGGTGATCTCTCGCCTTCTATTCATTTCTATGACGCAACCAGCGTGACCAGACACCGTCTTCCAGCAGCCAGTTGAAGAAATTCGGCTTGTGATCCCTGATTACCTGTGAACTCGACCGCAGGCCAGGTGACGTTAAGTATGTCGTCCGACATGAGCCTGTCTTCCTTTACTCCAATATGTTATACCAATGAAAGCGAAACTTTCACGTTTATACGCTGTTATTGAGTTTCAGCTACAAAGCTGCCTACGGTAAGTCGTGGAGAAAATATCCGAGCTCTTTATAAACGCGTGATCAAAGTCGTCCTAAAAAGTCATCTTAGGAACATCAGATAGATCAAATTCACACGTTCAGCAATTGAGGAGGAAGCTTTAATGAAATTATCTGACCGCAAACGACATAACGTTCGCAGTTACGGCTGAGCTTGTGCTGTCCGCGCCAACTTAATAAAAATTACATACGATAATTTCCGCAGAGAGCAATACTGCACGTCTATGTACTTTCCAAAACGCATACGGGGTTATAAGTCGTCACAGCTTGCCATGTATCATGAAGACCTATTCAGTGACCAATGACAGGTTGATTCAACGTCTTGAGCTTGCTATGGTGTCAAAATGACTGGAAATGGATTGTGCGTATGTCCGTATGTGTTTGGTACATAGACCTCATCCTCGGATACATAATGTTTTAAGTGATGATATACGTTTGTCTTGTTGAGCACGTCTCGTATTTCGCATATATTTGAATGTTTCCGGTCCGACTGCTCTACACTGCGTTGGAAATGACAAAAAATTTCTTGCAACGTTACTATAAGTTATCTAGCTTAAAATCAAGTGAATAGATGCAGGCGAACTTATTTATGACTTCCCAAAAACAACGAAGGATATTGAAAAAATCCTGCAAGCACACAAAACAAATATGAGAAAATGTGTGGTTACCTTTGCATATCACAAAGCATTCATGCACACATGGAAACCAGCATACGGGGACCAGACTATCATGTGGTGTCCATAAAACTAGGTCAGTATCTGGTGAAAGTTTGCAAGAATCAGGAGCATCCAGATCATATACAGTCAGTCAAACCTTGATGTACTACAGAGATGCTAGTAAGGGCGCCTTAGTGTCGGCAGGGGCAAGTCGGTGCCAAAGGGTGTTGAAAAGTGAGGGATGCATGCTCTATCCCCTGTAGTTAGCACCGTCATTGGTTGGTCTCTAAAGTGAATATCGGCAAACCGCCTCACCGGCCCCACACCAGTCTCTGGTGACCTCGACGGCGTCCTTGTCTGCGATGGCCCAGTGACAGCTGACAGTATAAAAGACACAGCGCGGGCGGTGTAAGGATATCAGTCCACTACTGACGAACTGCATCTACTCAGCATGAAGCTGGTGAGTACTGGCGTCGTTAAAACAATGACACGCGAGTAAAGTTTGAAAGGTTTCACACCATCCCGCAAGACACGATTGAATTTGAATACCACAGTAAAAAAATGTGTGGTGACCTTTATACACTTCTCACGGCACAGCGTTGCCCATTTCCTGACAGAAATGAACCTCTTAAATAGTGCGAGGCATACATCTAACGTCCATTTCGTTTCAGTTCGTGTTCGCCGCCGTTCTGGCCGTGGCAGCCGCCGCTCCGTCTGATTCTGCTTACGAAGAGGACATCATCGAGATCCTCAGACAGAATATCGACCACAACGACGACCACTCTTACCAACAGTCGTAAGTCAATGAGGAAGACTTTGAAGCTGCCCGTATTACACCATTATTACATCAAAATTAATCCGATATATTCAGTCAGATACCAACTCGGGAAAGTCACAAATGGCGGGCCAAAGCAAGTTGAAATGAATTTGGTATCTTTGAAGACCATGCCATTAGTTTATTTCTGATTAGAGCCATTCATGCATCGCACCTTTGTCCTGTGCTCGTGTCTGAGGCTATTAAAATAAAGTGGCAAATACACGGAAGGCTAAAGATCAGTTAAGCATACAAACATGAACACAGGTCACAATGGAATCGCACTGACTGCCGGCACATGCCCTTGCCGATTGTCTTTTAGACCCGCTCGTGTCGGTGTTCCGCATATTTGGTTTCACCAAACCAATATCGCCGCATTCTTTACTTATGTCATTCAATTATCCACATAACTCTCAAAAATGCTTATGCGGCACACTGAATACGTACTCATCGCTTATACTCGCATCATTAAGCTGTTTCGTCATGATTGCAG